TCAGGCCGAGATTGAGGTTAAACTGGGTGGCCGCGGGAGCAGCAAGAGGTGTGGTTTCCAAGATTTCCTCAATCTCCAATAGGCAAGCAGATTAGGTTAATACCCGATGGTTACTCCTCCCATACCTTCTCTTCGGAAACTAGCTTAAATTGTCTTACACAGTTCTCACATATATGCACATCTGTAAAATTAAGGTCAGAGATTATCCTAAACTCATCTGATAAACCCATGGATGGAGACTTCAGCGCCTAGTTTAATATTTTAACTCCAAAATAATTACTTATGCTTTTAATTAACTTCCTTAACTGATATATGTTGTGGTATATCTTACCTTCAGCAAAACATTTGAACAAGTACAGTTAATCCTCGATTTAAGAATAATCTGTTTAGTAACTGGTATGACAGTGCTGAAAAAAGTGATTTATGACTGATCCTCAAACTTACAACACTGCAATATCCTCAACCATCTAATCAAAATTCAGGCATTTGGAAATCTTATTGTATTTACAACAGGCAGGATTCTAGCATCACATGACCACCTTTTGCAACTTTCTTAGCCAGCTTCTGACAAGCAAAGTCAATTTGGGATTCTATATTTGCTTAAGCAGTAGTGGCAAAAAAGGTTGTAAAATCAGATGAAATTTATTTAACAACTGACTTGCTAGGTGATGGTAGTTCTGGTCCCAATTGTGGTCATAAGATGAGGACTACCTGTATCCATGACATGCAAATTAGCACACTGTGATCTGGTTGACACTCATAAGAATGAAATATATAGCTGGCCTGAAAATCAGTAATGACCCCTAATCAAATTAAATAGTATCAAGTGATATCAAAAGGATCAGTCCCGAATCCCCTACAATTCAAAATTTTCACTAATTATTTGGATTAAGAGGTGGAAAGAATATCTATCATATTTCAAAATGATAAAAAATGGGTGAAATAGCTAACAGCAAGAAGAGAGAAGTTATATTAAAAATAACACTGAAGATTGGAGAAATGAACTGAATATAACAGAACAAAATGTAAAAGAGAACAGTGTGATGATCTTCATTTCAGACACATAAATCAAATGCAGGATTATAGGAAAGAAGATACCTGACTTATCAAAAATCATTGTAATAAAAGATTTATTATCACTAGTTGATTGGAAATGATAGTTGTATAATAGAGTGGCAAATTGGGCAAGTGCAATGCTATTTACTTGCATCCACAGTAATATCATTTTCAACTCACAAGAAGTGATTGTTGCCTTCTACTTCAACAATTTCAGTCCGAACATCACACTTTAATAAGGATTTAGAGAAGCTGTAGCTGACCAATAAAAGTGCAATGAAGATAGTCAGGGAATTAGAAACAAACCTCATAAAGAGAAATTGAAAAACTTTTGTTTAGCTTTGAGAAAATATGGTTAAAGGGGGATATAAAGCACCCTTCAAATACCTGGAAGGATGCCACACATCACAAGGGCCCTACCATTCCAGAATGTAGGATACAGAATAATAGACTTAAGTGACAGGAACACAGATTTTGTTTGCATAATAGGAGAGAGGAAAAGCTTAGAGTTTGATATTACTCAGAGTTAGTTAGATCCCCTTCACATTTTCACACAAAGGCTAGACAGCCTGAAGCTTTAATTCAATGAATAGGAGGTTGAACTTGAAAGCCCAAATGGTCTATTACAATCTATGATTCTATGTTCTCTTCCATTCAAATAATCTGAATAGATAGAAAAAATACTTCTCCATATAAGTTTTTTTTTACAAAATAGCAATTCTCACATTTAAGGATATGGTGATGTTACTGTTAGCCAGTGACTTAATGGAGGAATTATTATCAATGAACAGACATTTATTTTTGCTATTTATATATGTAGAAATGAAACAGGAACAGATATGAGCTCTTGCATGCATCAGAAAAGTAAGAGAACTTACAGTATCACCATCTGCTTCTGGAACATTTAGGTAGTTCCATTTCTTTTCAGAATTTGAAGGAGAATTCTTTATGAGGGAGGCAAAAGGCAGAGGAAAGAAGAGCATTATGTTAGTACCAATAGGGATATAGAAATTCAACAAACATTTTGAGAAAGTAAAATGGATAAAGAAAAGATGTTGTGACACTAGAAATATAACAACCAAACACTGTATGGAGAAAAGTGATTAGTAAATAACTCCCATTTATAGAGATAGAAATACAAGAAATTATGTTATCTCTCCAGTGATGAATTTAACCTTAGGCTGCGCACTTATTTTCCTTTTGCAGTATTATAGAAATATTTGGATAAAAACATTTTGTTATCAGAAGGCAGATGTCTATCTGCCCACATACCAGCACTTTGTAGCTAATGTATTATAATCAATCATTTAAAATCCCTTAGAATATAAGATACTTAAATGCTGTAAATACTATAGCAATTACACTACCTGCTAGTTGCCAACAAATAATTTACTTGCCAAGCATCAAGTGAAATTATCCAAAATTTGGTGTAGTAGTTAAGGTACTTGACTGGAAGGTGGGAAATTGAATTTTAGTCCTTCCAGAAGAATTAAAACTAGCTATCTGACTTGGACTGGACATTCTTTCTCAGTCTAACCAACTTCATAGGTGACTGTTGTGAGGAAAAGAGGAAGCAGAACTATATACACTGCCTTGAGGAGTGTATAAAGGAGGGATATTTAATAATAATGACAACAACATAATAGTGCTACCTTGAATGTTAAACTGTTATTTGCTTAATATGTGAAATGTACAATCTTCTTTCTAGCACAAAAGGAAAATAATGATTGGGTCCTGATTTCATCCCCTTGATGAACTAGGCTCTACCCTATGTCTTCCTGAAACATGGGACTAATTCTTATAAACTTCAACAACATAACTGAAACATCTTTTAATCCCCAGTTATAAATAAACAAGCAAAAACGCTGCGGCAGCAAGACTACCAGTGCCTGCGCCAACAAGTCACTCGCCAGCTGATCACTCTCTTGGACAGCCCTCCGGGAAGGAAACAGAGCAGCATGCAGTGAAGACAGTGACTGGAGCGACAGGCGAGGAGGCAGCTGTGGCAGTGGGACTTCTGGAGACAATTCTGAACAGCTGCTCACCAGTTGATCACTTCCCTGCATGGGCCTCCAGTTGGGATGCACAAGGCCCTGAAGCATGCCGCTGGTTGGGAGGTTGTGCTGCTGCTGCCGTATGTGTGAGGAGGCCGCCACTGAGGTCTACTGGATGTTGGTTGCCTGGTGGGAGTGTCTGGTCAGCCGGAGGGTATGGTCCCTGGACTATAAAGTACTCTGGGAGGCAAGCGCTGACTTTGCAAAGGACTGCGTTTCCTACTCATTGTGTACCAAGGCTCTGGCCTACTTTTAAGGATTAAAGTCTGGGTTACTAAATTTCTCGGTTGCCTGTGTGTGTTTGCTTTGGTTCTAACTCAGTCCGGCCTTGGACCTTTGAGAGAAAGTCAGTGCTGTTCATTTCCAATTGTTCCCATTGTTGTCTTCCACAGCCGTTAGGGTTGACCAGATAGGAGAAAGGAAACCAGTGCAATGGCTGAAGGTACGGTGGCTGAGGTGGAGCCTGCTGTGGTGGAGGATGTGTGGCAAGGCCCCATATGGCCACCAGGGTATTGACCCTATTGCAGGCTTCATTTGACAGGAACCCTGACCACATAGCCTTGTTTCTGAGTCAAGCCATTAGCCATTTAAAGTGGTATACCCAGTTGTACCCCTCACAGTGGGCAATGGTGATGGCCATGACGGTGGTGTTGGAAGATGAGGCTGCTGAATGGATAGCAGACTTTCACAGTGAGCATGCCTGGGAGTTGGAGAATGAGGGTCTTTTCATGGAGGCACTACGAGTCTGGTTTGAGGATGGGTCCCACGTGCAATGGGCAGAAGGAGAGCTCCCATATTTGAAGCAGAGGAGCCAGTCAGTGGTTGAGTGTGTCTGGGAGTTCCACCGGGTCACTGGTAACTGAGAGCCTGTCTGGAAAGGTTGTTGATCTGTCAGTTCAGGGTGGGGTTGCACCACAATGTCGGCTAGGCCTGTGTTTACCAGGGTATTCTGCATCAGCTGCAAGAGTGGTTTCAGGCAGTCATTGACTTGAATGCTGGGTTATGGGACTTCTGTCCCAAGGGGGACATGGCCCTTGGGCCCCAGAAGGCTACAGACAGAATGACTGATAAAACTCGGCCTGTCTCTAGCACCCTGGTCTCTACAGTGAGGCATGTTTGACCACTCCTATGCTGTTTCCGGTGTAACCAACTTAGACACTGTGCATCTGAGTGCACATGCCTTTGTCACAGTAACTGAAGTCACCATCCAACAGCTCTGGTAAGACCACAATGTCTTCTCGACACACCCCTGAAAGGTCCTGGGGAGAACACCAGGCAGAGTCCTTGGTGATGTCCTCAGAGGAGGGAGAAGCAACAGCAGTGGGGAAGTTTCAGGTGGTGCTCCATGAGAGTGAAGATGACAGTGATGGCCCAGAGGAACCAATGGTAAGTGACCCCATCCATCCATTCATCACTCCCATCACTATAGTGAGCCCCCAATAAGCACAGCATGGGAGGTATGGTGCACTGATAGACTCAGGGGGTACCCAAGTTGTGGTTACTGCGTTAGGGATTTGGGTGAGGGAGATGGCCAAGCCTGTTAGGTTTGAGCAGGTGGATGGCTTGTTGCTGGGGGGGAGTCTCCTGCTACCCACCTCATGCAGCCAGTACGGTTGGACGTGGGAGAGCATTAGAAGGTAATCTAATATGCTGTAGGAAGAAACAGTAGAAGAAAGTCATACATATGTATTTAATGGGGACTTACTGTGGAAAAGCCACTTGCCAAATTACTTTGCCTTTTGGAAAAGCCAGAGGCTATAATGTCATCCATATCCTCTTCTGCTTCATTCCGGGAGTCCTAATGGAAAAACAAGGCATATATCCACAATTAAGGAATAAAACAATATTTTATTAGGAAAGGGTTGAGTGGAGAACTAAACAGGAAAAACATTATCTTCTGTTGCTTTTTAAATAAAAACATTTACCTTAGCTTCAGTATCTCACCCTGTTTCACTTTTTGTCTTTAATAGCATTTCAGTGTCTGAAATATCTCCAGTTATTGTGAACATCTAGCCCGCCATACTTACCATATTTTTCAGAGTATAAGACACACCTTTTTTCCTCAAAAAAGAGGCTGAAAATCTAGTGTGTCTTATACACTGAATACAGCATTTTTTGCCTCCTGAAGCCCCGCCCCTTCACCAAAATGGCCCTGCATACCCTTATGGAGGCTTTCAGAGAGCTCCTGGGGGCTGTGGAGGGCAGAAATGAGCAAAAAAGGGCTGTTCCCCCCCAGCCCCCAGCAGCACTCTATAAGCCTCCATAAGGCTATGCATGCAATTTTTATGACAAAAAATGTTTAGTTTAGTTTAGTTTAGTTTATTT